TATATATATAAAAGACAGAACTGGGTTACTTCATGCTATGTGCTCATTTTCAACAGAGATGGCACTTCTCCAAAGATAAACACTGATGTTTGTGAACAGTACAACATGCACTCAATAAGATAAGGCAAATATTTGACCTTCTTTCCAGCACCCAAACAAAATGCAATGATCAACATCGCTTTAAGTTCCACTTAGAGTCACTTTATTATGGGAAGGGTTCAATTTTCCTAAATATTTTTAAGGTGGTTTATAGGTAGGCTAAGCATTGCACACGTGCAGAACATTTTCAGTTTGAGAGTACTCTTTTTTTTTTTTTCATGGACAAGTGCAGGGTTTTTTCTAATTCCCCTGACTTACAAGGTTGATTATCTCTGGTGGGGAGCACAAACATGAGTCCTCTATGCTAACATTGTGCTGTAAAAAATCAGAGTGAGATTCTGCTGGTTACAGAGCTAAGGCTAGTAGAAACCAGGGGAAAGCTTTATCTATTCAAGCACAAAAGAAGACATTCTGAGAAATGTCTCAGTGTTTTTTCTCCATTAAGTGGAAGACAATGGTTTGGTTTTAACATTCTTCAAAATATCTTTTGTGTTCCACAGAAGAAAGAAAATCATACAGGTTTGGAACAACACGGTGAGGGTGGAATGAGACAAAGTTTTCCATAAACATCAGTAGCCTATAACCAGTGTTGGGAAGGTTCATTTGGAAATGTGATTACAAGTTACTAAGTTATTTTAAAGCACAGCCAACACAAAATCAGACTTACTAGAGATCATTCTGAGGTTAAATGCAGATTTAAAATCATAACAAGATACAATTTAATAGCTATGATGCTGTTTTTGAAATCAAATCTTTGCATAGTTAAGACATAGAATAACTATTGACATAGTTATAACCCAAATAGGAAATAAAACAGTTATCGAATAAGCATGTGTCCTAAACTTCTGAAATATCGGTGTCTCATATTTTAGAGCAGTCAATGCAATTGATGAAAGAAATCAATTAAATCTGTATGTGGGTGTACATGTAAAATATTCAGATGTAACCCCCTTTGTAATCGTTAACATTTTCATAAGTAACTTTAATTTATTACACATTTTTTCTCAGTAACTGTAACTAATTACAATTACATTTATTTTGAAATTAAATTATGTAATTCCGTTACATGTAACTAGTCACTTCCCAACACTGTGTATAACCAACGTTTATTGTGTGGGCCATGACACAATGTCATTAAACCAAGTAATATACACACTGTAAAAAAAATTCCGTAGAATTTACGGTAAAAAACTGGCAGCTGTGGTTGCCGGAATTTTACCGTAAAAAATACGGTAGCAACGTTTTAGGTTTTACGGTTTTAACTTAAATTTACAGTTAAATACCGTAATTTCATTAACTGATATAATGTTAATATACCAACCTATTGAAGTACTGAAATCTGTTTTGTACCTTTGTAATACACTGATAACCACCAAATGCAGGTGGTGATGAGAAAGTCACACAATGAACCAAAGCCTATCACAAGCAGCTTTTAAATAATAACATATATAGAAGGTGCACAGTGTCATTCACACAAACACCAAACACCATCATGGTAACACACATGAAACTGAAATAATGCAATAAACATTAATTTAACAACATTAGGTGTAACACACAACCCTAATATACAAAACTGATAAGAAAAAACTAAAAAGAAACATAGTTATTTCAACAAAAAAACATCAAATTTGAAATGTAACGCAGGGAATTCTGGGAATGTCAATTTACGGTTATTCACTGTAAATTATACGGTATTTTCCACTTCCAAAAACGGTATACTACCGTAAAATTAATGTCCAATACATGTAATGTCCAATACAGTTTTTCACCGTATATAGTAGGGGAATTTACCGTTAACCATTTAACAGGTTTTTACTGTAGCATTTTTACAGTCTTTTACCGTTAAATTCACGGTCATTTTTTACAGTGCAGAGATGTTGCTTTGCAATACCAACACAGATAATCGCTTAAAAAATTAGGGAAATGAAAAAAGATCAAGCAATCAAATTTACAATTTTTGGACCACTTGAGATGGACTGACTCTTACATAAATAAAACAAAACATACAAAACGTTGTTGAACAAAAGATAAGTAAATAAATGCATATATGTTAATTAATGAATCACCTCCATGCGATTTGTTAACTACCCAAAGGAAATGCTGAAAACCCTGTCAGTTATCTGAGAACATAAACAGAGCACTGCCATAATCCAAGGACATCTGTTACTGACAACACACAACACACACACACACACACAACATACCACTACACAACACATCACATACCACTACACATCACATACACACACACACACACACAACACAAACACCACATCACATACACACAACACATCACAAACAACACATCACATACACAACACACACACACACACACAACACATCACAAACAACACATCACATACACATCACATACACACACATACTACACATCACAAACAACACATCACATACACACACACATACACACACACAACACACACACACCACACATCTACACAACAACAGAGATGGTCAGTGCATGACTGAGAATTACCTGATCAACATCTTCATTCAAACCGAATCTTCAAATCTCACACATTTGATTCAGTCAGTGGCAAATGATTCCTTTACGCCCCCCTACAGACTCGCAAACACACCTTTCTACCGGAATATTAATATTCAAGGCATAACATCCACATAGTTACTCACCTGAAGAAAACAGAATGACGAGAGAATATAAAGACAGCATTTTAACAACAAATCCTCTCACAAAAAACAGAGAAAGTTTCGCGTAACAGACGATTCTCGTGAAGATGTTACACACACACATCTACACAACAACACATCACATACACACACACACACATACACACATCTACACAACAACACATCACATACACACACAACACATCAGCAGCCATCATCGCTTTGCATCAAAATGGCCTCACATGCAAGGAAATTGCTACAAAGAATATTGCACCTGAAAGAACCAAAGGTTGGTGTGAGAGCATCTGCACGCACAGTGAGGCCAAGACTTTTGGACAACGGCCTGTTGTCAAGAAGGGCAGCAAAGAAGCCACTTCTCTCCAAGAAAAACTTCAAGGACAGACTGAGATTCTGCAGGAAGTACAAGGATTGGACAGCAGAAGACTGGTGCAAATCCCCAGATCTCAATCCCATAGAGAACCTGTGGTCAGTCCTCAACAGGCGAGTGGACAAGCAGAAGCTCACACATTGTGATCAACTCCGAGAACTAATAAGGCAAGAATGGATCGCCATCAGTCAGGATTTGGCCCAGAAGCTAATATCCAGCATGCCAGAGCCAATTGCAGACAGAGGTTATTAAGAACAAGGGTCAACACTGTAAATATTGACTCATTATATTTTTTTGCCAATAAAAGCCTTTAAAACTTATGATATGCTTATCATTGTTTTTCAGTATACCATAGAAACATGTGGAAAAATAATGTACAAATACTGAAGTAGCAAACTTTGCAAAACACAAAATGTATCACTGCCAAAACTTTTGGCCATGACTGTACATACACAACACAACACACATCACAAACAACACACCACACATCACATACACACATCACATACACAACACAACACACATCACATACACAACACATATCACATACACACACATACACAACACAACACACATCACATACACACACATCACATACACACACATGCATACACAACAACACATCACATACACACACACAACACATCACAAACACACATATACACAAACCCATCACATACACAACACACATCACATACACACACACATCACATACACAACACAACACATATCACATACACAACACACATCACATACACATACATACACAACACAACACATATCACATAACATACACAACACAACACACATCACATACATACACATCACATACACACATCACATACACAACACACAACACAACACACATCACATACACAACACAACACAACACACATCACATACACACACACATCACATACACACACATACACAACACAACACACATCACATACACACACATACACACACATACACAACACACATCACATACACACATCACATACACAACACAACACACATCACATACACACACATCACATCACATACACACCCACACACAACACAACACACATCACATACACACACACATCACATACACAACACACATCACATACACACACACATCACATACACAACACAACACAATAACACATCACATCACATACACAACAGACAAAAGGAACTGACGCCTTATTCCTCACACACCACTAAACAAATAACACAAGCATCAAATAACAGCACCAAAGTCAGATAAACACCATAACTGGCTTGAATTCATTATAAAAGAACGAATATCATAGAAGTTTCATTAGACTGCTTCGAAATTGTTTTGTACATTTCTTTGATTCACTTTGTTAAATTAGATATCTGCTTGATCAAAGTGAAATCAACACAGTAATTTAAAAGCCAGTGCTATTTGACTGACAGCATATGTATATGCAATACAGTATGATTATCGGTTCAAATGCATTAGTAATGCAGGAAAAGTCCAGGCAGGAGGTCAGTCATGTGCAGTTTGATGTCTCACTTTTAGCAGCTAATGACTCTTCCTGCACAAACTACAAACACAATGCCTGATGCTAGAGCTGATAAACAGCAAAGACATTATGTTCTTACCTGCTCTAAAAGAGACGGAAGTGAAGTCGAAAGCTGCGGGCTGCTATGTTAGCTGTTCACACACACAGAAATACTGAATGAGGAGAGCTAACATTAGCATACACGCTAAAAACACCAGCAGCAAACATCATCATCATCATCCTCCTTCAGCTAACGGGCACAGACACAAATGACCTCATTCTGATCCTCTGCAGGCCTCTGCGATTCTCCACCAAGGATGTATCACACCTATCTGTATGACTGCTGCACGAATGTACTGTACTCAAGTTCAGGCTTTAAAAATACAAAAACGCCAGTCAAAGCAGCGTGACGTCAGGGGTGACGTCACCGCGAGGGCGGGGCCACGGGGAAGCTGTTTCGCAGTCGGTGGCTGCTTTTAAGGTCAAATAAAACTCTGGTAAGCGTCAGATTAAAAACACCAAATAAAAAGGGTCATATTCAGGTTAGTACTATCTTTCAAACATTTATTTTCTACATTGTGCAACCTGAAGAAGTTTCAAATATACTGTATTTCTTTGTGTCATAAAGAAGTGCATAGCCTGTCAAAAAAAATCCTCTGGTGAGTTACAGATTCAAAAAATAAAAAATGTCCTCTCTCTGTCACAAAACAGTTGCAAATAAGGATGAGGTGAGGATCTAAGGGCAGCAAATTAGTTTTATTTACACAAACTCAAAACTGGAAACAGGAACTGAACAGACATAACAAGACTTGACCATGAACAGAAGAAAACACAGGACTTAAAGGGATTATTTCACCCAAAAATGAAAATTCTCACCCTCATGTCGTTCCAAACCCGTATGACCTTCGTTCATCTTTGGAACACACACTAAGATATTTTTTTGAAAGTCGTCATCTGATTGGTTGAGTTCTACAGGATTTCTGTGAACGAACCTGTCATGCCGCCAAAGCCCTCACTGAAGAAGAAAGCCATTGTGTTTACAACGTTTTTACACCAATGATTGCTTATTAGAATAAACTAAACACTGGATTTCAAAAGTATGTGAAGTTCACGGCATAGAGTCTTAATGACTGAAGACGACGCTCTTGAATCAATGATTTATTGGTTACACGCCAGTTTGTTATTGTAGAGACATCGACTTGACATGTTCACACCCTAAACATGACGCTAAACAAACTGTCATTAGATGCTTTACGTGTCGGTCAGACAGGTGGCCCCTGGCCAGTGAACGCTACTGAGTCCAGACCTTCTGCTGTCAGTCTTTGCGAAATTGCAAGAATAAGGTGGTTGACCAAGATGATATTGCTTGGGTGAGTGTATGTAGGCCAGCGGTCATGCAGCACTAAATGAGACCGCTACAACTCAGTTAAGATTGTGGACTAAGAACACATATGCACATAGTTAACCCAATCAAAATGTATACTATTTTCCTTATTAAAAGACTATTTTTTTAAATAAATATTTCCCTGGACTGTATGCTTTGGCTTCACTCGTTTCTCCTGTGTTCAAGTGTTCACACACTGTTCACACTCCAGGTCTGACACAAAGAATTAAATCAAATAAGCATCAGTAGAATGGAACTGTTTTGTCTTGTGTAGTTTTCTTAATGTTCACAAAACATAACTGACGACTGACAAATACGTAAAGTGATCCACCTTACATGCAAAATGTTTTACAACCCCAATCCCAGAGAAGTTGGGACATTTTGTAAAATGCAATAAAATCAAGAATCTGTGATTTGTTCATCAGCTCAGACTGCTGAGCTTCTGAAGTCTTCCCACTGGGCAAAAATGTTGCTTGCAAAACTTTAACAATTAGTATCCTCAATTCCCAAACAATGAAACATTGTAATTAAAAGGAAGGTTGAGGTGACACAGTGTTAAACACGCCACTTTCCCAACTTTTTTGGAGTGTGTTGCAGCCATCAAAATCAAAATTTGTTCATATTTACAAAATACATTTACGTTGGTCAGTGAAAACTTTGGAAATCTTTTCTTTGTACTTTTGTCAATTAAATAAAAGTTAAAGAGAATGAACAGATTCTTGATTTTATTGCATTTTACAAAGCGTCCCAGCTTCTCTGGAATAGGGGTTGTACATATACAGTAGAAATATATCAAAATGTTTCAAGGTTCTTAAAAGATTTTTAAAAGAGTGTACTTTGCAGAACAAAAACATGACGACAAAGAAAAATAACTAAAAGCATAATCATTACAGTTGTTACAGTTGATGAACTGTAATGAAACGGAACTGATAATGAAAGTTCAGTATTGACTCTAAAAATGTGCATAATCAGGAGCATGAAATATTGTAAACAATATTGTAGCATGCTGGCCCTCGCAGAGTTTAGATTAAACTCACCCGACTAACTTTCTGCTTGAGAAGAACGTTTTGAGATTTCGTCATAGGGAAATGATTTAACAAAAGTCAAGGGCCAGGTGCCCAATTAAAGGGACCACTAATTACCATAAGGATGTCAAACAGATGATAATGATGATTTCAACAGATAAATACTTCAAACTACTTTTGTACACATGCTATACTGTATGAAAGAAATAAAGGAAAACTGGTTTATAATAAGCAAATAAATAATGCTTTTTTTTTTAGTTTAAGCATCATTTGGTGAGATAATATGAGACAGTGATTTGATTTGATTTCATTAGTGTGGCTGAGTCAGCTGTAGGTGTTAGGTGTAGGTGTAATGGTCAGTTATCACTTGTAAATGATTTTATTTAATTAACTGAAATTCTGTGTCACATTTACTCTATAACGAGGTATCAGCACTTCTCCCTTAAGAATACCAGATCACATATACATTTACTTAATATAATATATTACTTAGTATACATGAACTTAATATAAATATAAATATTATTCACACTCTTTAACACAAAAATTCTTTGTGTTATATCACAATTTAACACAAATAATTTTTTAACACAAACAGTTTTTTCCCCTTCTCCAGACAGTCCAGCTGTTAGAGGAATTGTGCAGACATGGGAAATTTCTGATCTAAAGACAAACTGTTGCCTGCATTTTGCCCCATGTGATTGCCGTACCCGTTCTTGAATGAACTAAACATCTTGTGAATAGGCAAGGCAATGCAATTATATAGCACATTTCATACACAATGGTAATTCAAAGTGCTTTACATTACAAAGGAAATAAAATAATCATAAAAAAATAATCTCAACAATAAAACAAGGAATTTAAAAACTTTTTTAATGATTTAAAAATTGATTTAAAATGAATTTAAAACAGTTAAAAATAGACAATGATAATACATAAAATACAGTGCAATCAGTTCGGACGTAGCACTGCTCATTCAATAAATGCACAGATGAGTTTTGATTCATGGTCATCCACGTAGACTTATGCTCTCCTATACTCACATAATAACTTCTCCATTCTAAGTATGACCTGAATTTGAGTACCATCCCAGAAAGACCGACCTAGTTTTCCAGAATACTTTAGAAATATCATGAAGTGTGCAAACATCTCTGCACTGAAACAAAAACATCATGTCATGGTTCGTCACCAAAGTCATTCAAACCTCTCCAAATATAACAGAATTAATGGCAGTCTTTGGAGGGGAAAACAGACAGGCTCCTCTAGTGTAAAATATTCTTCAAGATCCACAGCATAAAGTTTCACAATCCACCTATCAAACACATTTCCCCCTACCTGATTAGCAGACACTGAAAAATTCATGTTTTGCTAAATCTTGCATCTTCATGCAAAAACTTTGCAAACGAATCCTATGTTTATTAAACAGGACTTCTTGTTGGTGAAACGCACATCACTCTTCTAGGGGTATAAGGAGTGTTTGGAGAGTCACAACACATGTCTTCAGTGTTTAACCACCGTATCCTAAACCTTATTTAGCAAACACTGGGATGTCAGTACACAGAGGACAAAAGAACAACTGTCACAGGTGTGGGTGCAAGCCAGGGACAGTCGAGGACTCGAGTGCAGGATTAGACGGGTTTTACTGAAACTCCAAAAATAAAAATAATGACAACAACTACCCTCACAGCACAACAATAGCACAGCAGAGAAGAGCACATGGCCAGGAATTCACCCTACCATGTGCTCAGACCCAAAAACATAGGAGTGTCACGATTCTGTGACCGAACACTAGAAAGAAACTCACAGGAGTGACAGGACCGTGACAACAATACCATAAAACTGTCTGTCAGCCGGAGAGGTGTAGAGCCATGATTCAGAAAAGGTGGTGTGTCAGTCAGAGTGACATAGGGTCACGAATCAAGTCATAAACCACCTTTTTGACAAATAGTATAGGATACAATTTGCTTGCTTTATCTGCACAAATGTTTGACAACTTAGTCGTCTTACTGATTATTTTATGAAAATGTATTCACCCTTAGGCCATCCAAGATGTAGTTGAGTAATTCAAATATCTGATAAAAGCTCCACAAGTGATCCACATGACTCTAGTTCATCAATTAACATCTTGTGAAGTGATCCATCATCAAAATCCATCAAGATGTTTTTAATTTCAAACCGTTGTTGTTGGCTAAAATACAAGTCCTCTCCTCTCCATAACATTGCTTTCTCCTGTGAAAAAGTCATTTAATCTGAATAGTGAGAGTTAATATGCACATATCAAGTGCAAACTGTTTTAAACAAATATGTTGGTGGATCGGTGTGAGATCTCGACTGGGGATGGATATTTTCACTGGAGGAAGAGTTATTATGGATTATGGATTGGTGTTTTTGGCCAGAAGTGACAGTTTAAAGTTAAAAAGCCTTAATAAAAAGCCTTAACATTTTTACAAACACACAGCTTTTCACTTCATAGGATCTACTGGTGACCAAACATCTGGACAGGTGACAACAACAACATAATCAATTGCTCTTTAAAAAAAATGCATTTCCTTAATTTGTAATACCTTTTTTCTATCCTAGTGTGTATTTTAATACACAAAATCCTCATTAAACACCACAAGTGCTCTTGGGAGCTGTTTACTCACTCATTTTTAAATAAATGGTGAAGGCAATTGTCAGCAAATTTTCATTTTGGGTGAGCTATTCCTTTAAAGCTGCAGTCCTAACTTTTTGCGCTCTGGCGGGTGTGCGTCTTGCAGAAGAAGCCGGAACTACTTCTCTCTGTTCTTGTCTATGATGAGTCACGCAGGTACCGGGCTACTCCGCAGCGGTTCCTTCCAGAACCAGTCTAAAATAGTCCGAATATAAAAACTTATTATAGGTGTACCGTAGTGATTCAGGACAAGCCAAAAACACAGTTTGGAAAATGGATTCATGGTGTACTCACTTATTATATAAATTGTGTAAATTATGAACCACAAAAAACCACTTGAGAACCAATCCCC